CTGTCCCTCCACCCTGCCCGGGAAGTCGGAAAAGTTAAAATTGTGGCAACCTGAGTTGGGCTGTAGTGAATGTAGCCGCAGATCTGCCCAGGCCTCCCGGAGACAGGGCCCGGCAGCCCTGACTGGTGGGCTGAGGCCCCTCCCGCTGCCACCAGCCAAAGAGGGCGGGCTGCTCGGTGGTGCCACTGCAGCCCGGGAGCTCATTGGCCACCCCCTCCAGGGTCACCGCAGCCTGCCCTAGGCTGCAAGCTGCCACTTGTTAGCTGCAGTTGACAGAGGTGTTGCTAGGCGCCCCCCCACACACACACCCTACCCTCACCGCACAGCACAGCTCGGGGAGCCAGCAGGGGTGGGACGCACTCCATCTGACTGCTTGGAGAGAGGCTTTGAGGAGTCTCCCTGTAAGAAAATAGCCTAAGCGATTTGTTTGTGAGAATAGTGTAACAAAAGTGGCTTAGCAAGCATGCAGATGTGACAACCCCAGAAAGTTTACATTCCCCAAGAGTCCTGGAACAAACGAAACCCAGAAATAACAGGTCACCCTTGAGAAATGAGCTCTCAAGATGGTGGCTGGTCACCAGCCCTTTGCTCCTTTTTACTCCCTGGTTTTTCTCAGGACACTTGGTGGGCATTTTTCACAGGCTTGTGAGCCCCTGCCTTTCTGCCAGACAGGGTGCAATAAATGCCTTATAAGGGAATAATGAAATGTAGATGACATCTAGGTAGATCGTACACCCCAGAGTACTCGGCCAATGAGGAAACAAGGGAGGGACTTGTGCATTAGGGAATACATTGCTTTTTGAGTGTGTCTGTCCGTCAGACACCCCATCTTGGAAGACCGCCATTAAGATCAAGACCGCCATTAAAGTCTCGTTTCACCACACCTCGTGTCTCTGTGTCCATGCTTTGGCATTGGATGGGGAAGTGCATTTCTCATAATTTGGGGGTTCATCAGGATCTCTGCAACTGCAGGACTGGGACCCCAATAGAGGGAGAGACACGTCCCACCTGATTTCAGGTGGCTTTTCGTAGGACAGCAGATACGCCCGAGACTGTCATCCTGAGGACAGTGAAAGTGACACTGGGGAAGGAAAGCAGGCACAGTGACAACCGAGCAACCTCGTGCTTGAGCCAAGGTAGGAGATGGGACTGTAAGTGCAACCTTGGTGGCTGGGCATTTTTGAAGGCCGAGTGTGTGTGACCCAGATGTATCTTAGATACAGAGTGAGTGCGGAGTCTCCATCCATGGTTCTGATGTCTGCAAGAAATCTTGGGGCAGGGGGCAGGGGGAGCCGAGTGCATGAGGGAGACTCACACTGGGATCACTGACCTAAAGTGAAAGGCAGTTCTAGGTCTAAGGAATCCAAAGAGGGAAGAAATGAGATTCCTCCCAACGTTCCCTCAGAGAGTCCCTTAGGGAGAATGTTAACACACTGGGAAAGTAATTCTCAAAGAGGGAGGAGAAACAAAAGTGATAAAATACTGTTGTTGTATGTGGGCCAAGGAACCAATTCGTAAACCTTCAGTCTTTTGGCCACAATTTGGCTCAGCCATGGACTGGGTCTTTCAGGCCCTTGTCCTCTGTTGTTAAATTAAACCATATTGGCCTAAAACGGTCTCTTTATTCCTACATTTAGATTCCTGTGGATAAACCGAAATCGTACATGTTAAGCTGTTTTCCTGAGCTGGTTGCTAAGTTACAGCCAATCACACTAGTCGCACTTCGGTCAATCACAGAAAGCCCACCTTTTGGGCTGTTTGTGCAACCTACGCCCACCTGTAAGCAATCCAATTGTTTCTCTACCTCACCCCTACACTTTCACTTTTGTGTGTCATTTTTCCTTTTCTGGAACTTAAATACTGAGTCGACCACAAGGCTAGCAGGAGTTTCCAAAAGTCCAGGAATAACTGTCCAATTTAAATCGTGTTAAGATTGGCTCAATTAAAACTATTAGGTTGGCTGGCTTATTTTTCTTTTACCAATATTAATAAATACTCATCCTCCCAGGAGGAAAAGATGATACTCTATGCGGATTGCCTGGAGCAACTCCCATGGGTCCTCTTAAAACCAGGGGAGAACACCCCAAGAATCCTCTGTCCTGCCTTCCTCCTCATGCTCCACAGAATGGGAGCCAAGAGGGCCCGAGGCAGGCTGAATGTTTGGATCCCCAAGTGGAGTCTGAACCCTCGCAGGCGAATCCATACCCTAGCCTAAGAAAGGAATTAGAACAGTGCAAGAAAGATCTTGAAAATTTACCCCACCCTCGAGGGGCTCCTAAGGAAACCTCCAAGACGATTCCCCTTAGGGAATTCCCCACAGGGCAAAGAGAGATCATCGTGAATGCCCCCTCACTAGTACTGAAGTTAGAAATTTTAAGAAGTGAAATAATTGTTAGAAGAACCCCTGGATCTGGCAGACCAATTCAGCCAATTCTTAGGGCCCAGCCATTATGCTTCGGTCATGATGATGTCTATAGTGAACATCCTCTTCACAGGGAAAGCAAGAAAAATAATGAGGGCCACTGCATCCATCACCCTCCTGCAGAGGGGGTCCTGCCTAAAACAAAAGTTCTTAAATGTAGACCCCCAATGGGACAATTATGATCCCAAAGATAGGGTCCAAATGCAAGACCTCAGAGAGTTGTTAATCAAAGAATTAAGGCGTCAACTCCAAAGTTACAGTGTTTCCAAGGCCTTTGAGATTCAACAAGAAAAAGAGGAAACTCCCTCTGCCTTTTTGCAGAGGCTCAGGGACCAAATGAGGAAATATTCCAGGTTAGACCTCCAGAACGACCCAATAGGACAGGTTTGTTTGTTCATTTTTATCATGATTACCACTTTTTTTTTTTAAATCTACTATAGGGCACTTGCGCTTACCACAGAGAGAAAGAGAGAAGGAAGGTAAGAAAGCAAGCCAAGCCTCCAGATTTGGGACTTGAACAATGGTTGGCCATGTGGGAGTCCAGTGTCCCAATCGCCACACCACCTAGTGATCTCTGGACAGGGTCTCCTAAAAATCAATTTTGTAACTAAAAGCTGGCCTGATATTACTACTGTTGCAGAAAACCGGACACTGAGGAATGGAAAGCAGTACTCAAGAGAGATTAGGAGAACTGTTTATTACGCCAGTGGGCACAGAAGAGTTAAGACTCAAAATCTCTGGTCCTGAATGGGGATCGGACCGGTCTTTTATGGGGGAATTGGGAACAGGAGGTCTCAGGATGGGGATTGGGCTCAGATCCCGTCCTACACACAGCTTCAAAGTCAAAGGGAGGAGTAAGAGAAGCAGGAAATCTATTCAAGGTACCAATCCATTCAAGGTACTAATCCATTCAAGGTACTAGTCTATTCAAGGCACTAATCTATTCAAGGTACTAACACACCCAGGTTTTCAGGTTACCCTGTAGCTCCAGGGAGGGGCAGTAAGTTTGCTAGAGGGCAGAAACCTTAGACAGCTATCAGCCCTGAGTTATTAGTCATTGGAATTTAACAGTTTATAATAGAGACACTCCTCTAAGATGGAGTCTTACCTGCTTCACTATGAAGTTACAGAAATTAGATTGTTTGAATGAAAACTCAATTGAACTACTCAGGGAGGCCCAAAAGGTGTTTGTTAGGAGGGAGGCAAACCCTCCTCACTGGGGATGAAAGAACCCTAGATTCCAGTCAAGAGACCAAATAGGCCCCCATGGAGAAAAATCACAGGCTAGCAAGGGGTGCTATAAATGTGGAAAACTTGGTCATTTTAAAAGAGATTGATGAGTGGGACCAAGGGCAAGGTCCCACCAGAGCCCTGATAAAAAAGTGATCCCTCCCCTTGACTTTTTGAGAGAGATTTTTGTGTTTTCCAGAGAGACAGAAAACAAGAAATCAACCCCCAGGAGGGATGGCCATGCTACAGTCCCTTCTTCATTCTCTTGGGATCTTGGGCACGTACACATATGTGCCCAGTGTGAGTTTTAAGCCACAGAGTCTGGGACTCGCACTGCGGTCAACTACGTGGGAATACAGTGACATAACTGCTATGCCATCTACTGGTCCCCCCTTTGTGACTTTTAATGAGGACTAGGGGGATCAAGGGTTCCCTTTGACACTCGCTTAGGGAGGGCAAACAGAGAATAAACCCAGAGAGAATAACCAGCATAATAAATTAACCCTGACCAAAACTAAAAGGGAACTCAAAAGTTTTGGGTACTCACGGGCTATTACCAGTTATAGATTGAATCTTATGGTCAGAAAACAAGAGGTCTATACTTAGAGCTGTTAGAAGGAAAACCTGACCTCCTGCAGTGGTCTCCCTACGGAGACAGAAATTCTGGAAGACCTAAAGCAGGCCCTTGTTACAACTCCTGTCCTGGCCCTTCCATCCCTGGGCAAGCAATTTCATTTATTAGTATTATTAGACCAAAGTGTAGCCCATGGGGTATTAACCCAAACTTGGGGAGGGAAAAAGCAACCTATTGCTTTTGTCTCCCAATTCCTCAACCCTTCCCCCAGGGATGGCCAGAGTATGTTCAAGCAATGAGACCACAATGTGTTCTTCTATTGGTAGAAGAGAGCAGAAAACTAACCCACAAACTGAGGGCCATACTCAGCCAAAAGCAGGAAGATGGCTCACTGATTCCTGGATGCTGAAATATGAGGCTATATTACTAGAGAAAGATGACTTGATCTTGACAACAGGTGCTTGCCTAAATCTGGCAAGTTTCCTATGGAAACAGAAGAACCACGAGGCCTTACAGCACAATTGCCTAGATATCATTGACTATCAGGTTAAGGTCAGGCCAGACTTGAAGGGCCTGCTGCATGATGGAATTAGACTGTAGATGGGTCAACGAAGGTGATAGAAGAGAAAAGGCATAATGGCTATGTTATCATTGACGGGAACCAGTGGCCTATAACTGAGAAATACATATTATCCAATGGTTGATCTGCACAAACCTGTGAATTGGATGCCCTCAACCAGGCCCTAAAGTTCCTTGCAAACCAAGAGGGCATGATTTACAGATTCCAAGAATGTCTTTGGGGTAGTAAACACATTTGGGAAAATTGGGACAGAACAAGGCCTCATTAAGAGCAGAGGCAGCCAGCAGGTGGCATAGTGATTAAGGCACTGGACTCCCATGTGGTCGATTGTGGTTTGAGTACCGGGCTCAGCAGCTTAAAACTCACACCACGTGTGTGTGTGTGTAAAATCCTGAGAGAAGAATTAAGGGATTGCAGCCTGGCCATCCCCCCGATGGGCGATTTCTCGCATTCTGTCTCTGTCTCTTTCTGTCTCTCCAGTGAGCATATGTGCCCTATATCAAAAAGCTATTAAAAAAAAAAAAAAGAGGCAGAGGCGAAGAGCTGATACATGGGGAATTAATTGAAGAGGTCCTAAAACGTCTCCTGTTTCCTGCTGAGATAGCCATAGTACATGAGAGTGGACATCAAAAAGGGAGTACCTTAGAAGCTATCGGAAGTAATATGGCAGACAAGACAACAAAACAGGCAGCTTTAGAAGTCAAGCTCCCAAGCCTTATCCCCAATATCCCTGAGGGAATACCAAGTCCTCAACTTACAAAGGAAAAAAGGGAAGAATTGAGCAAACTAGGGGCCATCCAGAAGAAGAATAAACAATGGTTCTTCCTGGTAGGTTGAGAGGGAAATTGTCAACAGAACTATAACGAGAAAATCAGTGGCTATAATGGCTATATTACGTACGGGAAGTCGTCAGGGTCTATACGCTATGTGTGTTGCCCTGCTGAAACCCATGGATGCATAGGTATCCATGCCATTGCTAAGCAAATCTGTAGAAGCTGTGTAACTTGCCAAAGGATAAACAAGAGGGTGATTCGAAAACCAAAGCCAGGAGGGAGACCACCAGGGTTAAGGTCATTCCAGAGTATCCAAGTAGACTTTACAGAAATGCCTAAAACGGAAAAACTAAAATACCTACTAGTAATAGTAGACCACCACGCTAGAAGCCTTCTCACTCCTGGAGGCTATAGTGAACTCTGTTATCAAGATAGTTCTAGAACAGACTGTACACAGATTTAGTTTAGTGGAAAATGTAGACTCAGATAATGGGAGTCATTTTACCTCTGAGGTGTTACAGGGAATAATGAGAGACTTACAGATTCGTTGGGATTTTCATATTCCTTGGCACCCCGCCCCCCTTCATCTGATAAAGTAGAAAGGATGAATCAGACATTTTAAAAAGCATTTTATCAAACTGATGTTAGAAATGAAACTATCCTGGACAAAATGTCAGTCTCCCAATAGCACCTCACAGAGTTAGAACAGTCCCTCGAAAGGATAGGGGCCTATTCCCTTATGAGTTGCAATATGGGCTCCCATACATAGGTGGAACTCTGAACCTCCCTACCATCGAGACAAAAGTCCAGTTTCTTAAGAAGTATATACTGGCCACATCCTCTACGTTGTCTTTCCTCAGGTTGAAAGGGTTTCTTGCTCACACTCTGCCTCTTGAATTCACCTTCCATTGTTTCCATTCCAGTGACCTGGTGCTAATCAAGACCTGGAATGACAAACTTTGGCCAAGTCGGGAAGGTCCTACGAGGTACTTCTCACTACTGAGACTGCTAAAAAAGGGTGGGCTCACTATTCCAGGGTCAAAGGATTAGCAACCTCACAAAAACTGAAGATTGGTGGGAAGTATGTTGCCCCAGGAGAACCTATAAGGGTAACTTTAAGGAAAATCCCATAGGAGATATGGGCTGGATCCAAATTTGGGCTCTAACATGGATGATTACAACAGGGCAAGAGGTAGCCAAGGATTCTACCAAGGAACACTCTGCTTCTCAGTCCAACTAATGATAAATATAATCAAGACCTCATCACTCCAATTCGATGCATGCCAGGTCCTCTCTTGCAGTAGTTTAGAAAATCAGAAGCAGCTACCACAGGCGAATAAAACCTCTGTCCAGAACCAGACAGTGACTACAGAGAAGCCAGTCCTTGCCCAGTAGGGTTGATGTATGCTGGGTCACTCAGTGGACGGGATGGACAATAAACATAGGATGCATTACTCCAAAGTGGAAGTCCTTACAAGGTGAAATACACCTATCTAAGGGCACCCCACCAGATGCCTGCCAAAACCTAAAATGTAACCTCATACTTCTGACTACTAATGACCCAGTCACTCTAGGTCAGGAACCCAGGGTGGGCCCCGAGTACATGGGCTGGGAGCGGATATTACAGGAAGAGATCCTATGGGGTGATGTGCTCTCGCGTAATTAAAAACAAAAATATAAGTACTCCCAAGCCAAGCTCAGATTCCAAAGCCAAATAATACTGCCCCAGATGGAACCATTACTAAAGCATTACAAGGGTTTACAAAACTGGCAAATAAATTGGCTGAAAATGCAGGCATTAATGATCCATTTACCAGTTGGTTAGAAGGATGGTTGGGCAATGGAAGGGATGGTAGTCTCAGTCTTAACTTCCCTTATAATTACAGCTGGAGTTTTAACAGCGGTAGGGTGCTGCATTATTCCTTGTGTCAGCGGCCTGACACAGAGGTTCATAGAAGCTACAAGTAATACATGAATGTCTGGGCCAGCAGGTGGTGTGGCAGTTAAAGGCTCTGGACTTCCACATGCCCAGCCACAGTTTGAGTCCTGGACCTGGCAGCTAGCTTTCTCATTTTCCCCTTTCTCTCTGATGAGTGTATGTGTGTTCTAGCAAAATAATAATAGTAATTAATTAATTAAATTTAATAATCCTTTTAAAATACATGAATTCCCCCCAGAAAAAAATAAATCTATGCCCAAAATAACCTCATGTTGGTGGAAGCCAACTCAGACAATAAAGAAAAAAGTCAACAAATACTAAGACAATTTGTTTTTGTTTTGTTTTGTTCTTTCTTTTTTCTTTTCTTTCTTTTTTTTTTTTTTTTTTTGAGAGGTTTTGCTCTAGGGTACATGCACTCACCAGAAAGACAGAGAGAGACAGAGAGACAGAAACTGAGAAATCACCCACCCCCCCATGGGAGAATGGCCATGCTGCAATCCCTTCTCCTCCATTCTCCTCTTGAGATCTTGGGCGCACATGCACATGTGCCCAGTGTGAGTTAGCCACTGGGCCTGGGACTCGAACCACTGTTCAGCGAATAGGAGTTCAGCGAATAGCCGTTACACTAACTGCTGATCTTGATACTAAGACAATTTGAAAAGAACCAAAAATACCAAAACATCAATGAAAACGGAATCAATAACTCTTAGGGGAAAAAAAGAGAAGGGAATTTTTAAGAAAATAACTTAAGTGATTGATTTTCAAGAATAACTTAACAAAAGTTGTTTTTACCCAGCTTACAGCTGTGACAACCCCAGAAAGTACACATTTCCCGAGTTCCTGAACAAACGAAACCCAGAAATAACAGATCGTCCTTGAGAAGTGGCCTCGTAAGATGGTGGCTAGTCACCAGCACCTTCTCCTTTTTACTTCCTTGTCCTTGCTCCTCAGGACATTTGGCGGGCCGTTTCCATGAGTTTGTCCTGAGTCTATGCCTTCCTACCAGACAAGAGAGGGAAGGGGACAATACATGCCTTAAGGGAATAATAAAACTTAGGTGACATCCAGGAAGATCATAGGACTTAGCCGGTGAGAGACTGGGGGAAGAACTTGTGCTCTAGGGAATAAATTGCTTGTTGTAACCATTTTGGGTGTGTCTGTCCATCAGACACCCTATCTTGCAAGACCACCATTAAAATCTCATTTTACCATCCCTCGTGTCTCTGTGTCCATTCTTTGACATTGGATGGGTGAGTACACTTTTTACATTCCCCACTCATGGTCAGGTGGCAAAACGAGCTGTTAGTCCACCCCAGCTCCGGGGTGCTAGCTTATGTTGTCACAGGCTGCTCCGAGGTGGAGAGAAGAGGCAAGGAGCACATACTCTGGCTGACAGTAACCTTGTCCCCACCACAGACAAAGTCACTTCATCTTCAAGGCTGGGCTGGGCACACAGTGGTATTAAGACTTGGTAAATAGGCTACTGATACCATGCCAAGTATGCATGCATATGCACACGTGTGGCAGTGGGGAGGTGGGTGCTTGCTAGAGAGAGAGAAATCACCCCCCAATGGGACATGGTCATGCTGCAATCCCTTCTCTTCCATCTCTCTCTCCCTTCAGGATTTTGGGCATTCACGTACACAAACCCAGTATATTTTTCAAGCTTCCGGGTCCAGGAGTTGAACTGTACAGTCAGCCATGTGAGATCCAGCTGGCTTGGGCACCAGGCCAAGACCTGGCCCTCTTGTGTTTTTCACCTGCATTTTCTCTTCAGTGACCTTCAAAACATTTGTTGCACTTATATTTTGGACAGTGTTTGTGATCCACAAATTTTGTAACTACGAGGGGACTTAGAAAGTTTGTGGAAGGGCCGACAGGTGCTGTAGTGGGTAGGGTGCTGAATTCCTACATGGCTGACTGTGGACCCAGCAGCTTGAAAATCATCTACATGCCTGTGTGTGCATGCCCAAAATCCCAAGAGGAGACTGGAGGAGAAAGGATGCAGCATGGCTATCCCCCTGGGCTGTGATTTCTCACTTTTCCTCTCTGTCATTCCCTCTCTGTCTCAATATCCAGCATGTGCATATGCCCTATAGCAAAAATTTAAATTAAAAAAAAATCAAACAGTTAAAATAGGGCCAGCAGATGGTGTAGCACTTACGTCGCTGGACTCCCGCATGGCCAACTGCAATTCAAGCCCAGAAAACAGTGACTTCAAACTCATGCCGGGCACGTGTGCCTGCATGTCCAAAATCCCGAGGAGAATGGAGGAGAAGGGATTGCAGCCTGGCCATCCCCCTTGGGGGGTGATTTCTCACTTTCTCGCTGTTTCTGTTCCCCTATCTCTTCCCAGCACACATGCCCCAAGGCAAAAACCTCTGGAAATAGAAAAACAACAACAAAAGAAAAACAGTTAAAACAACTGTTTAAAGAATATCTTTATCTTGGGGCCAGCAGACAGTGTAGCAGTTATATCACTGGACTCCACATGTATAACTGCAGTTCGAGTCCCCAGACCTGGTGGTTTGAAACTCATACCAGGTATGTGTGTATGCGTGCCCAAGATTCCGGAAAGTGAATGAAGAAAGGATGGTGGCATGATCATCCCCCCTTGGGGAATGATTTCTCACTTTCCCACTCACTGTCTCTTTCTTTGTCTCTAGCGAGCATACATGCCCAAAGACAAACACTTCTTTTTAAAAAAATCCATCTATCGGGTCATTGGAAAAGTCACAATGCATTTTTCCATAGAAAAATACAGAAACAATACGTCATGACTTTTTTGACATTTGAGCTCTGAGAGGAGTTTTTCCTTTTTCTCACCTGCTGAAAATGCCCTACATCTCCTCTCCCTGAGTGAGGATGGGTGACTAGGGGTCAAAAAGAGAATCATAAATAGTGATCACCAAGGGGACCCAACTCCTGTCCAAAGTGCTCACCGCCCCCGGGGGTGCTCTCCCCAACACTCAGACTATGCCTGCTCTACTCATGCTGGAATCAGACCCAGTTCTGTCCCTGGCTAGGGATAGACCCTGGTTTCAGGGTCACCTCTGGTAGGCCTTGCCACTTTCCACCTGCCAGTCCATGGCCCTGAGTGCTGAGGATGGCGTCCCAGGCGTTGTATTTTGCTTCCGGCCACGTCCGACACCCTCAGCTACCACCCCTGCAAGTGCGCGGGCAGCGACTGGCGCGATGTGCAGGCTGTGACCAGGGGCCTTCGCGGCTGCAGTTGGAGCTCAGAGCTTCTTCTCTTTGGATGACTCGGATCATAGTCTCCCTCCAGCCTGTCCTTGGCGCAGAAGTCCTAAGCACAAAGCCCAACAGTCAGGGTTCCAGCCTTGGCCCTACCAGGACATGCTACACAAGGAAGCACTTTGCATTTGTTATTACTCATAAAACTTGATTGCAATTATTATCTTCATCCCACAGACCTCACTGGCTCAGTCATTAAGGATGTCAGCCCCTGTCAAGTTTACGGTGCTTACAGTGTTGAGGCTGCCCGCATCCTGGGCTGCTGGGCTGTCCTAGGTCAGCTCTGTACAAACAGGCCAGCCAAAGAGCTGGGATCCTTCCTGGACCAGCCTCAGCCCAGGATCCCAAATCCAGAATCTGCTCGAGGAACCCGAAGCCTGGCGTCTACCCGGTCACTGCCAGCATGGCGTCCCCGCAGTGAGGTGGGCTTCGAGCCCAGAAGATCATTGTGTGACCTACATCTGCCCGTATTATTAGCCCTGGAGCCAGTGTAGCCTGGGTTGTAACACAAATCGAGGCACTGTTGACTTGGCTCAGGTTTCCAGCCTAGCAGCTGGGAGGGACTCCAGAGCAAGGAACAGGGAAGACTGCCTAGAGATCACAGAAGACTTCATGTCCCTCCAGCTGCTGCTGATGTCAGCGCAGCCCAAGGCCTCCCACAGCCTTCTGGTGACCCAGGGTCAGCTGCCTGACTGCTGGCCAAGGACCAGGCCTCCCCCTCCTCCCACCGGCCTTCCTCACGTCCCTGTCCCTGGCTTGCCCCAACTGACTGAGCTGGGAGGTGATTGGGGAGTGGGTGACCCAGGACAGTGACCCCCAGGTCCCCAGCAGTGCAGAGGAAAGTGCACCTCTCCCCTACTTCCCTCACCGACTTTGTTGTTGGTGTCTAGAGATGCGAGCATCACGGGAGACGGGGAGAGCTGGGAGGAGACCGGCCAGTACGAAGCTGGGCCTGGACCAGCCATCCAGGTTTTGGCTCCAGGAAAGAACCAGGTTCCTGGCTGGGTTTCCAGCTCCACACCCACGTGTGGGAGATCTTGAGCCAGTCTCCTGAGAGCCCTGAGCCCTTTTTTTGGTCTGTCAATTGGGAATCTCTCACCTGTCCTGCAGGCCATGGGACAAGAGACGAAATATGTGGAAGTCTTCGCAGCCCAGAATGCCCTGCGGGGGGATGTTGCTGAGAAGGTTTGGGTGCTGTAACTTCCTGGAGAAGGGCCAAGGGGTCTGTGTTCCACTGAACTCGGCTGAGAAGACCTTAGTGCAGCAGGAACCGGAGTTAGAGAATTAGGTTTCAGCACTGGGGAGACAGCACTAGAAAGTGCTGGGCGTGGGGCCCAGTTACTGAGCTGCCTGGAGGCAAAGGCGGGCCTTGTCCTAGAGGCCGGCTTGGGGCGCCTGGGCTAGGTATCCACCTGCTGACTGCCAGCGTGGCATTCCCGCGGTGAGGCAGGCGTCAAGCCCACAGGTGGAGTTGTGTGACCTACATCTCCCACGTTATTAGAGAAGCAGCCACTGCAAGGAGGGGCTCACCATCTGCGCTGTAGAGCCTTTGAGCCCCAGACGGGGTGAGGTAAGTGAGCGCGGGGTGCTTTACCCACCCCTGTTTCAGTCACTCACTATCACAGGTTTATTTAGTGCGGTTAGAACTCCAGTTAGAGAAGGGGTTCCACTTCTTTCTTTTTTTGTTTTTAGAAAGAGATTTTTGCTCTTGGACACATCCACTTGCCAGAGAGACAGGGAGAGACAGAGACACAGAAAGGGAGAAACCAGCCCCCGGGGCGGGGGGGGGGGATGGCCATGGAGCAATCTCTTCTCCTCCATTCTCCTCTCAGGATTTCGGGCATGCACGCACACATGCGCGCACACACACACACACCTATGACTGGCATGAGTTTTAAGTTGCTGGGTCTGGGACTTGAACCACAATTGACTACATGGGAGTCTAGCAATGTAACCATTACACCATATCCTGGTCCCGAAGAGGTTCTACTTCTAAAATAAATATTTTAAAACCAGATATTTAACTTAACGCCATTGTTTCACCAAGTAAACCAAGGGCCAGAAAGGAGAAGAGACTTGCCAAGATCTCCCAGCTCAGCAGTATCGGAGCTGGGCCATGGAAAAGGACCAATGCCCTATGGGAGAGGAGGACAAAGGCAAAGAGGCCCCAACGGTCTCTTGACCTCAACCACAGCTCTCCTGACCTGACCCCGGAGGGTAGGCCCCACAGCTAGGAGCCATGCTGTCTGAACTGGCGTGGGAAGAACAGGAGGGCAAAGGCCTCCGCTCTGGACAGCTGAATACTCTGTAGGTTGCCGGCCCCAGCTTCCATGTTGCCACATGGGCATTGTCTCGTTTCCTTACTGCAAGCCAGGCAGATAACCATTTCATAGCTGAGAACCCTGAGGCACCAACGACGGCGAGTAGGTCTGAGACTGAGTTTGCCTGCTGCAAGACCTGGGCTCTTGTCATTGTCTCTGGCTTTTCTTGGTGTCTCTCCACAGCCCCCACCTTTCACAGTAGTTGCCCTCCTCCCTACAACCCCAGCCTCTGTTACCCTTCTAACCAACCCTGTGCTGGACCGGCCCAGCCTTTGCCCCTCTGGGGTTCTAGCGAGGTTAGGAGGCCTGGTCTGGTGCTGTAACTTCCTGAGAAGGGACGAGGGGCCTGTGGTTCCACTGAACTCTGCCTAATGAGGGCTGAGAGGACCCTGATGGCTTCATGGGTCTCCCAGCAAGCCCCAAGCTCTGGGCTTTTGGTCCAGCCAGGGCCCAGTTCCTCTGCGGAAGAGGTGAACAGAGCAGTCCCTTGAGCACAGAG